AAAGCATTGTTTAAAAAGTTTGGGGTTGTTGGTAATGTCTAGGGATTGGTTTTAAGTTAATTTGCATTATTAGGTCTAGTATACTAAGTACTTCTGGTGACAATTTAGTTAAATTGTGCTGGACAATCTCAGTCAGTGAATGAAAAGTGGGGCTTTAATTATGGTTCAAATCTTTACCCCGAAAGATAAACCCTACGTTTAAAGATTTGAGAGCGGTTCGCTCCGGAGCAACTTGAATTAATAGTTGCTAAAGGAGCTTGTCGAGTGATCTTCTTATAATTAAAAATTTTTATTCTCGATTTTGAGGGAGTGTCAGCTAATATATATACTAAGTTTGACTGTAACCATAACATTTTACTGAACTAAACTTTGATGCGTTATTTCGTCGATGGTTTCATAGCATTAGATGTACCTTGGACTAATTCTGAGATATGTTGCGCTAAACTAATTACTTCCCGTATAATCTCATAAGAATCTAATCATTCTTTTTCCCGAGCGTAAGATTAATTCAAGATTTAGCCCAATCGATAGCTTCTTATAATGTTTGGTCCTTGAAAGTTTTAACACCCATAATAGTCAGGTAGTTATCTGGAGATAAACTTTAGTACTTGACATAATTTGGGTAGGTGAAGGCATGCAGTATTAACCGCTGATATAATTTCTGAATATTTGCAATACATTGATCCATAGTTCTCATTAACTCACTGTTGTTTTTAGTTTTATTCGATCGATAACATCTCAACCATCGAAAACGCTTCGTTTGATTCATTGTTCAAATTGATGAATAAATTTGTTAGAAAATTATTCCATCCATTAATCGGATTATAGTTTGCAGACATACAGAAACAGCTACTTTAAGATACGCTGAAATGTTTGAAGTTGTTGGGCATTACATCAAATAGCAGCACAAACAAGATTAAATTCATTGAATTAAGTAATCGAACCTTTGTAATGTAACATTACAATTAAGATTAACAAAAGCTTCAGTTTGTTTGAGACGAAATCATACAGATATTATAATGATCACGTAAGGTTTCATTTGAGGGTAAAACATGGACTCTAAGAATTTCTGCGGCTTAATCAAGTATCAATATTGTATGTATCTGTAGTACTTGGATATTCAGCACCACAAATTCTAATTTCGAGACATAATTAAGGTTTTATAATTTAAGAGGCCATTTTCTAATGAAATGTTGATATAAATCATTATTAACGAGATTAAGAGAAAGAATAGGGACGATTTTATTAATGAATGTCAAAACGAATACAATAATTTTATATGTTTTAGGGAAATTAATTCAACATCAAGGCAGAAACGATACCTATATAAACAAAAATTCTATCTAAAATATTCACCAAATACTTAAAATAATCACTTAATCAGGGCTATGTGATGGAAAGCAATTAAATACCGTATGATCAAAGAAAAGAAATGACATAATTTCGATCATGAGTAATTTCGATCGGCGTTACGTAAAGCAGGTATTTTTATGCCACAAAAATATAATAGAAAAATTTTTTTTTTTTCAAATGGTCTGCTGCGGAAAGGTTTTTATTTAAAATTTTTTATTCAAATTTTTATTTATTATATTTATTTTTGGGGATCTTGTAATATATAAATTTTTATTATTTCTTTTAATAAATCTAGGCAAATAAATTCAGTTCGGGTTGCTGTGAAAATATTTTTTTAGAGTATTAATTATGGGACCTACAGTTAGTAATGTACTGTATGTATTGTACGGTTTTTTTCTTGAATGTAATTATGGTATGTATGCTTTAAAAACTATACATGTATGGTTTTTTCATAACGAGTAGTCCATACTTGTATGGTTTCAAATATCATACATACATTGCTAACCGTATACCCATTAATTATTAATTTTATTTTGGTTTGTGATCGGCGAAATATTTCACGTTTTTTATTTATGAATTTTGACCTTTTTTTTATTGTTTTATATCAAAGCTTTGAATATATTAACTATCAAGAATTAAGTTTTTCAAAAAATGAGTAAAATTAAAATTCGGTGCAACCTAATATTTATATCGTATTAATAATTTCACTGGCTTCGCTAGCTGGACCCCATTCATCATCAACCATGGCAACTTCATTGGGAACCTCTACAGTATTTCCTTCCTCTAAACTATTATCAATTATTTCTCCTAAGCTCTACAAATAATTTTTCTATCCATAATATGGTAATTCCACTGAATAAGGAGTAATAAAAAAGGTTAATTGTTAATTACACCAGGAAAATTTATAAAATTATCACATTTTGACAAAAGCCAAAATAGACAATACTAAACCCCTAATTTTATTAACGCCGTTATAATATATTTTTTTTTTTTTAAGAAATTTGTCGTTAAAAATTAACCGGGCTAATAATTAATTGGTAATAATTACTCACTATATAACTATAATTTTTTTGGCGTGATTAGCATTGAAAAAATATTTTTTGTTACGCAAGATTATTAAAAAGCCTTAGATAGATCTGATATAAAAAATTATAAATTAAAAGAGGAATAAAAAAAGGAAAAAAAAAAAAAGAACGGGGTGAGGAGGGACAAAAAAAAAATATAAAAAAATTAAAAAACATGAAATAATTAAAAAAAAAAAAGAACGGGGGGACGAATAAAAAAAATTTAAAATAGTAATTTAAATTTAAAATTGTTTTATTTACTAAATTAATCAAACATATTCATGATTTTGACAATAGAATGATGTCGGTTATTATGTTTACTATCAGATCCTGACAGACTTTCATAAGTTAATGTTTTAATAGTAACTGATATAAAAAATTTGTTTTAGGTACTTACAATTTGTCTGAGAAAAACAAATTATGTCTGGTGGTTTTAATAAAGAAAACGAATCGGTAAAGCAATGGAGCCATAAGGTAAAATTTTTTCAGCAGTTATCAAAACTTCAAGATGGTTGAAATATTTTGCTCGCTCGTCTCGAATTTCAAGATACAAATAAATTATTATTATTATAATGCACTTAATTTTTGCTTATATGTAACATGTCAAAATTATCCCAGTGTAAAATAAAATTTGGTCTCAAAAAAATTGTTATTCTTTATTTGAAGATAAAAAAAATGTCGTGGAATGCTCAATACGGAATGTATTACATTATGTCCTCCACTAACTTCACTGAAAAACGAAATAATCATCATATGACAGTATATTAATTTTTTGAACAAGGAATATTTTAGAAAAAAATTATTTTCTTAAATTCAAAAAAAAAACCGAATGTTTTAAATATCTTTAAAGAATTTACTTCTTAATAATTTGGAATACTTCATAATCTTCGATAATAAAGAAAAGAAATCTTCATTATCTCTTATTTTTTTTTCATAATATAGTTTGCGACAACTGTTGGCTTGATAATCTATTAATTCGGTTGATGACTGTACCCAAAGATCATCTCCAAAACGTGGTCCACAATTTTCGCCATAAACTATTGCAAAATTTGCATATGTAATGTTACTTAGAATCGCATCCTTGATAAAGTTATCCTTATTTTTAAAAGAAAAAATAAAACTATCTTTGGTTACACCGATTCCAAAACTAGATTTCCATGATAGAGGATTGTATCCACCAATAATTTCTTCTGTTCCTTTTATTTTAATGAAGGTGACAGTCATAGGTTTATTATCGCATAATGTGTGAAACTTTTTAGGAGTAAATCCGTCTCGACTCCCTCTCAATAATAATTCAAATTTATATGGCAAATATAATTCTTTATTAGCATCCGCTTTATCTATCCATTTTGAAATTAAGGAAGCAATTTGTATATTAATGATTTTCGAATCAAAATTTTTTGAAGACAAATTCCCTTTCCCAATTCTAGGAGGTAAAACATTATGGGATATTTTAGCTTCCGGATCCAGGTGGTATGCTAATAAATTTTCATAAAGTTGATGTTTCGAAATCCTTTTATATAGACGAAATCTTCGTAAAAAATCTTTAGATTGTAAGTTAAAAAATCTGATCAAAGGTAAGCATCGTTGTAAAGTATTCTCCATTATTTTAAAATCATCATCAGTCCAAGTTGCGGGGTCCGAAGTAA